TGTAGTTTTTCAGCTGCCAACTTCTCTGTCTGCCACACCCATGCAGCACCAACTCTGCGATGACCTCAAAAGCAAACATATTTTCCGTGTGGTTCATAGTCTGAGTCATCTGAAACCCGGAGAATTTGGGTGGGGATGACTCAGAATGCAGCATTTGACACAGAGCGCAATAAAGGGAAACTAAAGTCCTAAAAAAATAGCAGGGCAAAAGCCACAGGGATGGGAGTAACTTGGATAATGTGTGCCAGGGCACCCCCACACGCAGGATGTGTTTGGGCCTGAACAAACAGCAGGAAATAGGAAGTCTCCAAGGAGAAATAAAATGTGCAGATTCCAAGGGCGCTGCAGAGGGTGTTTTGATATGGTATTTGCTATTTGGATTGACACTCCAGGGATGCGATAAATAAACCTATTCCATCTTTCCATCCAGTCTATATGCTTGGATAACTTGGAAATCAATGAAAGGGTAATTATCGTAGAACTAGCATCCACAAAATTCCGAATCATCACTAGATGCTAATCTTTTGCTGCCATCTAGCAATCCCCTGGGTTTTTCCAGCTCAGATCCGGGCATATTGAAATGATGTTCCAATTAAACCTGTGAGTCCTGATGGGATCCGGAGCAAACAAAAATTAAAAGCCTCCCTGGCGCAGGTTGAATGTCTTATCTGGCCATTCTCATGTTCCATAACGTGAATGTTTAAAGGTCTTCTGATCATATTTACATATGGAAACCACGCCAGAGGCATTAAAGCCAGAGACTTAACTCTCTAAGTCAGCCATTTTGACTATTTCCTCTGATTTTGTGTGCAGGTCCAGAGCAACACCTAGTGTTCAAAGTGGGGAGCCTACAATGCTTGTTTTCCACCTGTCCTGTAGGTAGTGAAAAGCTTCAACTTCTGTCACCTTGCAACCCGATGCAAGTCATCCACAGAGAGCAAATCCAGCTTGGGTATGCTCTAGAACAGTTTGAATTATAGCTGCCTGAAAACTTTCTGAAGTTTGCCTAATGGCAGGGGACATGGTGGAAGCTGTCCCACCATCAAGCAAAGGCTGGAGCCACCTTGCTAGCAAACTTCTCGCTTCTGGCTGCGAGGTGGAGAAACCTGATTCTCCAGGGGCACCAGTTACAACGATGTGTAACACAAAGGAAGCTATGATTTCCAGTGCAGTTTTTCCTGAGCATGGTTGCATTCACTGGCAAAGCCGTGCAGGATGCTCAGGTCAGGGACACGTATGGAGTAGCTTGGCTCCTTCAGCCATGACTGAAAGTGTGACTGGTAGGGGCCTGGTTTAGATATCACCCCAGCCAAGAATTCATTAGGCAGCCTTAGCTCAGCCACTCAGCTGCAGATCCCAAATGGAAATGGATTTGTAGAGCTGAATTCTCAGACATCCTTTCTGTAATAGCGAACAGGATTTCAATACATTGTCATTAAGGATGTTGCAAGGCTATGGGGAATTTAAAGAGTAATCTATAATGGTTACAGTGAGGAAGAGCAATGGGAGGAAGATGTACGCCAGCAAGCATTACTCAAACACTGGATAGCGGCTGCATTAGCAGCCCTCACACCAGATCGCTGAGCAGGTGAGCCCCTGTATCCCAACAGCTTCCAGTGCAGCACGGTGGGAATTCCTCACCCCTTGAACATCTTGCCATGCCTGCTGGAGATTCCCCCTTGCAGATCGCTTCATCCATTGCTGCTCTTTCTGAGCTGAGATATGGAGGCTGATAGAACCAGGTTTCCTTCCTGAGGTCTTGAGAGTTCACCTCCCAGCAACTTTTCTCCACAAAGAAGAAAAGATTGAGGGTCTGTTGTGGGTCAGAAACCATTTGCCTCTTCCCATTTTATTCACATGAAGGAGGGATACCCATGAAAGAAACTCTGATGCCCAGAGACAAGGAGCTTTCTATCACCCATAGTTGAAATGGCTCATCATGCCTATTAAAGTTACTGGGATGTTCCCAGCCCCTCAGTGTTGCAGTCTGTTGCTCTCACAGAAAACTAGCAGCCAATCAGAACTCTTCTTCTTGGCTCCTAAGTGAATAAACACATCTCAGCCAACAATGCTCAGCTGAGATCAAAGCACATTTTAGCAGCTTCATATGCGAGGAAAATGTATTGTAAAGTTAGTCTATCCCACTTATCCTATACATCTGTAATCCTGTTTCAACTGCCAGACTCTTCCTAGGTTATATTCTTAGGAATCTTGGGCTACTTGTGCAGTTATTTGGAAAGTGTTTTACTCAACTTTCTGTTCCGATTACAGGGTGCAGGAGCCAGGAGAAAGGCTGAAAGCCAGGCACAAGTCAAAAGTATCAGAAACTTAATCCATAAACTCACCATGTAGGAACAGTGTTTATCCAACACCAACAGAGAGTTGGATATCAGTGGCTAAGAAAAGAAGCCAACCAGAAGGATTAGCAACAGGCTTTATTACTGATGGCTGGAACAGAGAAGAGCCTGCGAGGATTTTGCAGAAGATAAGAAGTGAAATAGCCAACTGGAACCAGGTACTAGCCTTTTTTTTTTTTGTAATAACTGTAACTTGAAGAATGAACTTGTCTCCTTTGGTCTTCATTCTACTAAAATAAGCTCTCACGGCTAGAGAGAAATCTTTGGAGTTGACTAGGAACCCATATACCTACTCAGAGCACTCATGTACTGCCTGACAGGAAGCTTACATGTTCCGGTGCTTTCCTCTCAGGGAATGAAAAGCAGCTTCCCAAGCTTGGCCTTTTGTGAGTCTGGTGGGGGAAAATCCCCCCTACCCCTGAAGGAACGTGTGCAGGGAGAAAGTCTCAGAGCAATTGCATGAATCAAATCCAGAGCCCCCCAAACTCCAGTGTTGTTTTAAACTGTTTCCTTCTTAAGGGTCAGGAAATACAAGGACATCTAATTTGTGATGTGATTTGGCCCTGAGTGTGATCTAATATTAGATTGGGATAAAAATATGCATGTGTTCTCTTCTGCCAGGAAGATACAGATTTATTTAAAGCAGGGATAAAGTAAGTGGCCTCAGGTAAAACTAGCTATTTGCCACTGCAAAGACATATCTCAAATATATATGGTAGTCCTTCGGGTTTGAAGAAGACATGTTGTTGTGCAGTTCATTTATGGACACAGAGGTGGCTCTGCAGTCCCAATCTGAAAGCGTAAAGTCTAGCACAGTGGGCTACAGAATTAGCACAATGGCTTAAAAAAACCTCAGATAGACTGAAGTCATTCAGACATATATTCCCATCTTCACTGTGAAGTTGTCTGATATTAGCTGGCTTTTCCAATTTTCTATAAAAATAAGAAGATATTACTGAGTTCCAGGTGCAATGCTTGTTAACCTAAAAAATGTCTTGGGAAGCAGTCTCTATCTGCACCATCCCAACCCCATTGCTCCTTATTATCCAAGGATAGGCCAAGGAGGCAATCAGTACCCTTGAACATTGCCTGAAGTCAATAACAGGCTGGATGAGGGCAAACAAATTGAAATCAAACCCAAGTATCGTTGGTCAAGAGGAAACCAGATTTGGGGACTGAAAGAGCAGGCCTGCAGTTTGGACATGCTCCTTCAACCTCGCCTGGATTCACTGGACTACCAGGTACAGGCAATGGGGACAAACATCTTCACACAATTGCACCTGGTGCACCAGCTACACCTCTTCCTGAGCTGGTTGCATCTGACAGTGGCCATCCATGCCTTCATTACATCCTGTCTTGATGACTGCAATGCACTCTGCAGGGGGCTACATCATGCTTATCAGGGGTAAGCAATGTTATGCAGTATACAGAAAAGCAGCAAGAAATAGTAAGGCTTAAAAACTTAAAAACAGGAGATTAGAGAACAGAAAAGGAGAACTAACTAAAACTAGTTTATGCCAACGTAACTCACTCTCCATACCTGCAAACATTCCTGGCTTCCACCACATCCATGAACAGCTTCCTACACTGTTTTTGTGTTCTGTAAGCTTCTCATCTCTCTGTTCTTCAGGATCTCATCAACTCAGTCCGACCACAGTTGTCTTGGTCTTCCTCTTCCTCTTGATCCATTCAACTCTTTCTTCATATATTTGTTTTATAGTTTGGTCCTCATTCATTCTCTCTCAAATTTCCTTGATGTCCTTCTATACTGGTCACTCACTTTGTATTCAATCCCCAATCATTCAGCAACCATTCATTCTCAACTGCCTTGTTCTGCCACATGTTTCCATGCTGATCTGGAAGAAGGAGCCTCTTTTTCTCAATGGCCAACAAAAAAAGCCATGGAGGAGAAGAATAAAGCAATCTAGAAAACTAGTTACATGCACAATATCATAATAAATGGGAAACCTAATTCTTTGTTTCCAGAAAGGCTCGCGGGGATTCATCATGTTAACAGAAGCATAGACCAGCCATGATCAATATAAGCATCTGTTCCTCCCAGAATCACAGTCCAGAAAGGAAAAACCATTATGAGACCCCAGCACTCTCTGAACTGCAGAGACTGATATGGACCAGAGGAGGATCTGACAATCATGTGGACCAAGTGTGGCCAAACCTCTACCTTGGAGATGCGTAAGGAAATGGCAGGAGTTCTTCTGGTTGCTTAGAAGCATTAGCTAACGATCTCTATCTTTTTCAAAAATGTCCTAAAGGTGTCTTCACCTCCAGAAATTCCACAGGGGGTAAGGAAACATAGGGCCCATTGGCACTTTTGCCCCTCCGCCAGAGGTGTTCAAAAGGCATGATCAAATAAGTCAAGATGGTGGTGCTGACAGCGCAATCAAGGCTCTGTTTTTTATGTACATCACATCTTGACTTTTTTTGACCATAACCTTAGACATCCCTCTGAAGATTTCTGCCATGCTTGCAAAGACTCTGCTGCTTAATTTATCTCTAAGTGTCTATCTATGTTTTATTTGCCTTCTTGAGATGGAGAGGGAGGGAGACCCATTGTTACCACTCAGAGTCTTGGGAAGGGAGGAGACCCATGGCTGAAGGACTGGGAAGGACCCAAGGTAGGGAGCCTAATATAATGAAATGAAATGAAATGAAATGAAATGAAATGAGCAGCTGCCCACTCAATTTTGCATTATTTATTTATTTGGAACATTTATAAACCACCCCAATCTGACCAACTCAGTTAATAAACAGACCAAGGAAATGTCACCCCCCGCCCCCCCCTCACACAAGAATTTTGTGCCTTTTAATTGCTTAACATTCAATTTTGTGGGTTGTGGAACAGAAACATTCTGTGAAATAGTCAGGGTAGGCTGAGTTTCATGGCTCTTTAGCATCTTATTTTTCATCTTTCTTAAATTACAATCCAGGATGTTATCCAGAGGTAGTTTTTTAAAAAGGACATACTAAGTTGCCCCCCAGAATCCCCAAATTCATTTTCCCCAACAAAATCTTGGGAGTCTGCAATTCCGTGGAAAAGAAATGGATAGCTGTGTTGCAAATTATGTAAAATGAAGCTGCACAGACCTGGAATGATGTAGCATAAAGAATCACACCCCTCACTAATTGTAGGAGGAGAGATGTATTAGCCTTCGGCAGCCAAAAATCAGAGGAAGTCTGGTAGTGCTTTTTCAGACTAACACATTTTAATAAATGCATTAGCTTTTGTGAGCTGACGAAAGCTTAGACGTTTGATTATATTTGTTAGTCTGAAAACACACTACTAGACTCCTGAATTCTGCATGTCCTGCTAATTGTTTTCATAACCCATACTGAAGGATCATTAAATAAACCTACACCTCAGGATCATTTAAAATCAGAGCAATCATGACTTTGCAAGACCATTTCAATCAAAATGCTAGCAATGATGTCTAGAACATCTGGAATGTAAACCAGTGATGGAGGGCAATTCCAGGCCCAAGTGCTAGTGAGGAAACAGAGTCAATTGACCCATATTTCATTATCAAAGCTGAGCATTTTTCACTTTGGTTAAGAGATTTGCACAGGGCTTGCATACATCACAGCCCCTGAATGTTAGAAGAATTCCTGGAGGCCCTTAAGCCACCATTAAGAGGAAGAAAAGCAAACTCTGCTTGCTTGTGTTTTGCTCCAATAGCTAACCAGGGAAGATGGGACGAAGTGGGAGGTGATGGATCTATTACCGCTTGACTGAGTGGATTGCAGGCAGATGAAATTCAGTTGATAGGAGCCCCTGTGGGTTTCAGCCTGAAGTGTGAATTGGAGCAGGAAGGAGAAAGGATCATGGCAATGAGTAGGGAGATGAAGCATAGGAGATAATTCCTCTCGCTTTCCTGAGACCCTCTCAAAAGTTCTTTTCAGTATGGCACATGAGAAGAAACCTTGATTGTCTTTTGACAGATTGGCAGCTAGAAGTAAAACGGTTCTTCAGAGCATTGGCATTACTCATATCCTCAATGCAGCAGATGGGCCCTACAACATCAATACTGGAGCGCGCTATTACCGAGACCTGCCGATTCAATACTACGGAGTACAAGCTTTCGATGACAATTCGTTTGATATAAGCAACTTCTTTCGCGAGGCTGCTGATTTCATACACAAGGCCTTAAATACTGCAGGAGGTAAGAGAAGACAAAAAATGAGGAATGACGTCAGAAAAAGGTCTCTGCTTTCAGTGGCTGGCTCTGGAGGTTGAAAGCTATTGCTTATTCTGATTCAGGAAAGCTGTTCAGGGCAGAGTTGAGTCTTCTTGCCCATTTCTAGCAAAGGGCTCAAAGTGAAAGGAGCTTTGTTTAGTTGGTCCTTCATGCTCAGAGCCAGGATTTTTCTATCCCAAGTAAGAAAGAAAAAGAGGGAAGCTTGGAAGCTTGTGGGCTTTACAAAGTAAAAGCAGGATGATCTCAAGCTGAGTTCAGCTCCTGGTAACTGCATGGAGACAACCATGCAGCTCTCTTGGCATCAGTGCAGTGTTGCCTTCTTCCAAGATGGTTTTCCAGGTCTTGCCAAGAGCCCAGGCTCTTCAACAGTGCTTGGGATGATGATGATGATGATGATGATGATGATGATGATGATGATGATGATAAAGGACTCGATAGTTGGATAAAAATGCTAAATCCAGTGTAAACATCTGGCTGACTGTGTGACCAATCATCATCATCATCATCATC